TTATAAAGGTCATAAAATTGTGTATTAAGTATTGTTATATGAATTAATTTTAAATAATTGTGAAAAAACGCGAAATCTATGCAAACTGGAAGGTCCTTGCCGTCTTCCCCACCCATTTTTTAAATAAAAAATAGTAAACTACCAGCCTAATGTATTCTAACCTAATTTTAACTTAATAATATATCCATGTGTACGTCCTCCAATTTTGTAGTCAATTTTCTGGTTGGTTCTAATCTTGTATGTATCTTCATCTCGTATGGATCTTGATGTTGATGTTTCACTGTATGTATCTTGATCTTGAATTATATCTTGATCTTGATTTGTAAATATTAAGGTTTTGCACTGTATATCACGATATATCATTGTACACAACACTGTCTGGCTGCACTGTATTTAACACGATTTTGCCCAAAATATATCTTATTTATAATATGTATATAAATCCGTCCACGAATCAAATATAAAGAATGAAAACGTAAATGGGGCCCCGATAAATAATAATATAGTATATAATATAATAATAATATAGAAAATGATCGCAAAAAAACTAATATCTTATGATCTATCGTCGCATGCAAGTAAGATACATATCTTAATATAACAAAATAATATAGAAAATGATCGCAAAAAACTAATATCTTATGATCTATCTTAGCAAGTAAGATACTTATCAACATAACGTTCTCCTGGTCGTGTGCTCCTGGTGGTGGTAAAGTGGTCCATCCTACTTAGCAAAGTGATCTATCTTAGTAAGTAACAAACTTATCTGAATATAACAAACGTTCTTCTGGTCTTGTGCGCTCCTGGTTGCAAAGTGGTCCATTCTATCCTTGTACACTGGTAATCACTAACGTCCTGGTAAACATTCTTCCGTTTTAGTAATAGTGTTTTAGGATCTATTCCTCTGGTAACTTCTGTGTTCAACCTAAAATTAAAATTTTATTTAATTCTATCAATATTAAAAGATTTGTACATAGCTCAGAGTTTCTTACCATGTCCTGAAAATTGCCAAGTTCAACCACTTATAAATTCAGCATCTTCCACCAGGAGACTCATTGTGCGACCAGTAAAAGTAAAGTTAATTCTTGAAATTGTGTTCATTACATTACGACACGAAAAGTAATCAAAGTAAGTTGAAAACATTTAATAGAATTTTATAAATCTAAAAAAAAATTATTTTTTTCCATGGGCCACTTAGCGAAATAATTAAAAATTAAATTTAATAATAATTGCAAACAAATAATATTAATTGTTAAATTATGTGCATGGGGTTGCGGTGCTTCTGGGAAAACAACGCAGGGGTCCATACACTCAGAGATACAAAACAAAAATTATTCAATTAATAAATTAAATTTAAATGTGAAACCCGACTACTTGGACCTGCCGTGGGGGGTAGGCGGCAGGAACGTAGCTTCAAACGCGCAATTTTCATCATAATACGATTCGTTCGTTTTTCGAAAATTAAAAAAAAAAAAAAAAGTGTGGACCATGTACTCGAAATAACGCAAAATGGTAAATAAAAAATTACTTTTAACACTATATCAAATAAACTAAGTTACAATTAATATTAAAAAAAGTTTAATGCACAATAAGCCTCCGAAGTTATTATTCACTGCACATAACACTATTGGCACTGTATAAAATCTGAAAAGAAACGAACTACATTAAAATTAATTAAACAACTACATTAAAAATTATAAAAAGTCAATTGCAAATAATTCCAACATAAGTTCAGATATAAATTTTATGTTGTAATAGTTTTCTAATTCTAATCTTTTTTTCATTATTATTGACTTTGTAGTCAAATATATCAGCCATTTTTTCAATTAAAATTATTTTGTACAATTATTATACACTACTCATAGTTTAATGTTAATTAAATTTAATAAAATTTTAACAGGTTATTTATTAAAATTATACATATATATGTATAATTTTTTTTAAATACCTTTTAAATTAAATTTAATTATAAAATTATATTTGAATATACATTTTAATTTTAATATTGAATTATTAAATGGAAATAGAAATAAGAACATATGCCGTATATATTTCATATGTTCTTATTTCTATTTTTCATTTAATAATTCAATAGTTAAATTAAAATGTATATAAATAATATATAAAAAATTGAATTTTATATCATAAAATCATACCTAAATTCTACAGTTGGAATTATTTATATTGTTTAAAATTTTGTATATTGTATAAAATATATACAATATACATTAGATACATATGTACATACATATATCTGTATATATGTACTTGCGCTTTGATTTGATTTATTTTTATTGAATTATAATTAAAAAAAGTTTGAAAACCCATTTTTTATTTATATTACTGGATTTACATTATTTTCAATATTTTAATATAATTTGGCCAAAGAGTTATTTCAAAACCATTACAGAAACTCTTCGGCAAAAATTATTTTGAAATAGAAAAAATAACATAAATCGATTTATATAAATAATGAACGGTTTCCATTTTTTTATTTATAATTCATTAAACAAAATTAAATAAATCAAACGCAAGCAAACACCATGCATAAATCATATATTCAAGAAACTGAATATACGATTTTTTTTAGAAATTACTTGAAAACAGTTTTAGAATAATATTAGTTATTATAAATGACTTACCTTTCACTGTAGTAACTCCACGAGTCTCAACACAAAAAGACTTAACATTGTTTCTGTGCCAGCTTTTATGGGGGCAAAAAGGCGCCAAAACAATATAAATCGTTACTCGTCATACTCGTTATGTCGTTATGTTTATGTCGTTACCTACATATATTCAAATTCAAATCTTATATTTCTGTCATAGATCGTTATCAATGATAAAATCATTTATCTTTGGTTGTTATCTTATCAATAAATAGTTTTTGGTATTAGGCAATTGATAGCGCTAGTGTTGGCAAAATCACAGAAAACCTGTCATTGTTTATATACATTTGGATTTTTGAAGAAAATAAACAAATAAATTCAGTCTTAAAAGATTTTGAATATCTTTTGAAAAGATTATAGTGATTATATGGATACATATACCTAATTTTAATTAAGTCATAATTTAGTACATTAATATAAAGTGAACCTCTGGGTTTTCCTTTTGAAATTCTATGTCATTTGTCAAATTAATTACTCAATGTCTTTCTATGTAGACAGATTGTAATTTATAAGAAAATAAAAAAATAAAAAATGACTACATGAAAAATTTGTGTACTTGGTAAGAAATTATATATACTAAAGATAAAATTAAATTTTAAAATCAAAATATATTTTCAATTTATTCAAGAGTTCTATTATACATGTATAATGCAGTGCAGTGCAATTTATTCAAGTGTTCTAAAATACATGTATATACAGTGCTGGATTTACAGTAGGGGGAGTCGGGACTACTGCCCAGGGCTACAAATTTTCGGGGGCAGCAAAATTTGGATAGTGAAAAAAAATTCTATACCATATAATTAAATAATTTTTTAATAAAATTTTTAATTTCAAGAAATATAATTAACAAAACATTATACAAATGCATTGCAAAATTTGGCAATTTGGCTAATATAAAGATGTTCTTCAGATCTCGAGCCCTCTTAAGATGACGAATTTGTGCACTTCCAAGCTCATAGCGATGAAAAAAAACTAAATTAGTGACGCACGTTCGAAATTTTTTGAAAATTATTAAGTTTCATTTATTAAGCTTATTAAAATTGAATTTTATTTGAATAATTCGATTTCTATTGATAGCGAAACGTGCTGATTAGTTATTGGCCAAGACAGGTCCAACTGTTTCGGAAATATGAGCCAAAATGCCAAAAATAATAATTCATTTTTTGAGAAACGGAACGTCCAATATCATTAAAAGAAATTTACATATATAGACAAAATGGAGAACTGATTAAGTTTGTGAAAGGCAGGTCTAGCGGTTTCGGTGACCCAATAAAAAAAATTGAAAGAGAAACATTTGGCGGTCAAAAATGATCATTAACCATATGCACATAAAATTATCAGATATTTTAATAATTTAAATTTTGTTTACATTTCTATGAGTTCTGCAAAATTATTTATCGGTTATTCTGCGAGGCGGCGCTTACTTACTTACGCAGGCCGATCGCTTTAATTTTTTTTTTTAATTTTAATTTTTGGTACTGAAAGTTTCAGCAATTTATCTTAAGGCACGATGCCAAGCACCACTATTTACACTATGTAATGCGTAATAATTTTTTTGCAATCAAATAGTTATTTTAATTTTAGAAAAATGATATATATAAACTATTTTAAGTAAAAAATTTAGGGATGGGGCGGCATTTTTGTCAGTGCCCCAGGGCGCGAAATTTCTAAATCCGGCCCTGTACATATAGCAACAACATTCTATATTACATTCCAAACTTTTTGATATTTTATCAAATAATGAGCTTTTTTCGTAAGAGCCCGCATAAATCTTATATCTTTATAATTGTCAAGACGAACAATGTCAATTTTTATGATTCTTGGTAGGGTTTTTAACCTGAAATTTGATTGATTGATTTGGTTTTTAATCTTCATGTGAAGAAGTGCAAACATTACAGGTCGCTGTAACTTGAAAGTCACATAATTTGTTCGGACGTCTTTTCGTTTTATTATATTGGCCATGAAGGTGACAAACTTCAGGGCATTAAGCTTTACACGGAATGGTTGCTACCCCTGGTAGAGGGGGTAGCGGAGTGTTTTAATGGAACTAGTTGTTCACTTCTAAAAGTAAAGTCCGCTTAACAACATGTAAATAACCAATTAAAATAAATATATCTTCTTTCATAATAACTTAGTAACAAATCAGGGATTGTAATTATGCAACAAATGTATAATATACAAACAAATCAGTGTTTAATACAGTCGACAGCTACAAGGGTTAAATTATAACCCAACAACCTGAATTATCGAAGGAGAGTTTTAATAAATTTTATAACTACGTAACACAAAAGCACAGTCATATGTGTATTTTTCATTTACATATACAAGCTTACGATGACTGATTATTTGTCCACTATTTTTATGCTTGTAAAACAAAAATTCGAAGTTAAAAAATTAAAAGTATAAAAACTACATCGTGTATAATTCAACTTCCTATCATAATTCAGTCCCTGAACAACTTCCTGACTTAAAACATGCTATTGCTAAATACAATTATTCTATGAATATTACAATATCTAATGGCATGTACCTCTATATCCTTTATCTCATTGTTCCAGTTATTTCATCATCGTAACAAAAGCAACAGTGTCAAATTACGGATTGAAATAATCGATACGGAAATCGATACGTCCGAAGCAGACTCCACGTCCAGCCCCGCTCGCCGATACCGCAGCAGCGCGCCTTGTCCTGGTGAACTGACCCCGAAGCAGACGTTCAAGCTGAGTACGGCCACGATGTGCGAATGCCAGCCGCTCAGCGATACTCAGGTCACCCTGCACAAGACCAAAATACAAAATAAGGTAAAGTAAAAGAGAAATTATGAATTATTAATAAACTAATGGTGTATATCATCGTGCCTTAAGGCAAATTGCTGGAACTTCCCGTACCAAAAAAAAAATGTTTTTTAAAAGATTAAATTTTTTTTAAAACTGAAAATTAGATTTTTGAAAAATTTTACATTTTGAAAACATTGACTTCTTAGGAATAAAGCTCCACCCTTTTAATGAGCACTTCATATGGCTGGCTGGAACTTTCTGTACCAGATTCAAAAAAAGATTAAATTTATTTTTAAACTTAAAAAAAACTAAATTTTTGAGAAAACTTAAATTTTGAAAAAAATGACTTTCTAGGAAAAAAGCTCCACTTCTTTAATGAGAACTTTATATTCAATAATTATAATGAAATAAACATAAAAATTAAATGTGCATGCTTCGTCATAAATTCTGTCAGCGACTGAAACGCACGGCGAAATTCTAAATTTCTTCTTTGGAAAGTTTGTTTTTTTATTAAATTTTCATCTACATTATATTTTATTAACTTCCCGAAGAAGAAGTTTATGTTTTCATCAAAAAATCCGACCCGCTAATTTTATATTTTCTTGACGTTTCAAGCCATTCTGAATCGAATGAGACCAAATTTGGTAAAAGTATGTGTGTGAATGTGTGAACAGATTTTTTGCCGAAAATCGACGTTTTCTCTAAAACGGCTGAACCGATTTCAAAAATTTAAAAGCCATTCGATGTGTCTCGATGGGGACTAGCGTTTCTCAGTTTTGTGCAGCGATCGGCCGAGCCGTTTCTTCGTAAATAGCAGAAAAGTGAAAAATTTTTCGTCCAGGTTTTAGTTCGCAATGCTGAATCGATTTTGAAAATTCAAAAACCGTTCGAAAGATATTTTTAGGGAATCGTGCTGATTAGTTTTTGGAAAAGATCGGCCGGCCATTTTCTTGTAACAAAGTTTAAAAAAAATCGACGATTTTCATGATTTTTTTTTATGGTAGATACCATAGTCTTGTAGATCATACTAAATTATTTCGTTACTAAGACAAGTCGTTTAATCTTAAAAATTCTTCAAAGATTGCAAAAATTAGAATCGTTTTTTTGAAATTACACTTTTGATCGATGTGTGTAATTTGTTGAAATTACACTTTTGATCGATGTTTTCACAAAAACGCCTGAACCGATTTTAGAAATTTAAAAGCCATTTAATGTATCTCAATGAGGACTATTGTTTGTCATTTCTGTGAGACGATCTGCCGAGCCGTTTTTCTGTAATTTGAAAAAAAGTGTTAAACTTTTCGTCTATATTTAAGCTCAAACTACCGAATCGATTTTAAAAAATCAAAAACTGCTCGAAAGATATTAGTTGGAATGATTCTGATTAGTTTTAGATGAAAATCTACTGAGCCGTTTTCTTGTAATTAATTATTTAAAAAAAATAAGACAATTTTTATGGAACTTTTTTTGACGATATATATCATGTCCTTATAGATCTTACTGAAATATTACGGCCTTACGTAATTAAGGCCGTATTATAATTTTAAAAAATCATCAAAGTTTGAGAAAAAGAGTAGTTTTTTTGACGTTTTTTTAAAATTAAGATTAGGCGATTATCTTGGTATAACGATAGAGTACTTGGTCTTGATGAGCATACTAAACAATTAAAGTCCCACGGAAACTGGTTCAATTATAAAAAATATTGATTTTTGAAAATTTGCTTTTAGAAAATACTCCGAGTTAACTTGTCGCAAGGCAAAATACCAATACCAACTAGTTAAAATATGTGCGTTCTGTCGTATTCAATATCATAAATAATACTCAATAATACCAAATTCTACCAACTACAAGTTTTACATGATACACCCTAAAAGTTTTTATTTAAATCTTAGATTTCCGGCATTTTCAGACAGACAGACAAAAAGTATTTATTACAGTAATTAATTATACATTTTGCATTGCTATTTTTAGTGCATATTTTTCTACCCTTAGGTACTTTATACATCATATCTGATCTTAATATATACAGTAAATGCATTTTCATATGATGTTATAACATACCATAAAAAATAATTAAACTAATGACACACGTTTCTGGATTTGATAAAAATCACCATCAATAGTATTTGTTTAAAAATAGACAATATCAAAAGTGATATTTATTATTGCGAATTTAACTACGAATTATATACGACATTACATATGACAATAGCGACAAAGAATAAATTAACTAATGAAAAATTATTGATAATGATTGGTGTTAAAAATATACGAGTATAATAGCAATAATTATATTTAATATTGCAAAATAGAACTTACATATATATTACATCCTAACTGACAATAATTATCTAATTTTTGTATCGTTTGCCCAAGTTTTGAGTCTTTTATATACTCATTTTGGTACTCAATTTTATAACACACATCAGCATTTATTTTTAAATATTATTAATATACAGGTATAAATTATTTGACTGTTATAGCTATTTCTCGCCCATAAATTCCAATCCCAATTTTGTACTCAATTTATAACTCAACCCAACATTCATTTTTAATATTATTATTAATATACGACAAACGCCTGTAATCGATTTTTTTTAAATTTCGTGATTAAAGTATGAAACAACCCACTAATGTTTTCCATCCAGTTTTTTTATTATAAAATCCAATTATGTACGAATTTCCAAACATTCCAAAAGTTGGTGAACTTTTGCGATAAGGTGGTCAAATGCGATAAGCAATTTTCAATTAGAATTGTTTATTATTTGTTACGCGCTTTGATAGTTCGTCTATATGCAGCTAAAGCAGTGCGATTGCTTTGAAAAAGAGTTCAAAATTTCCAAAATATTTTTTTTAAATAAGTTTTTTTTTCCAAAAAAGTCATCTTTTTTTTCAAAAATTAAAAATTTCTCAGAAATCTGATTTTTTCAAAGTTTCAAAAAAAAAAATCTTTTGAAAAAAATGAATTTTTGGTACAGAAAGTTCCAGGAATTTGAATTAAGGCATGATGCCCCACACTACTAGTTGAATTTTTTGAAACCCAAATGTACTACATAATTTTGAAAGCAATCAAAAATTTTTATCGAACGAAATAAAGAAATATAAACTATTCCTATTGATTGCATATATGGAAAAATTGCACGATCAGAATATAAATCTGCATTTAAAACTCGTATAAATGTAGCTATTAGCATAGTTAGAGCACATTGGAAATACTGTGCATGCCTTTATTATACAACTCGGAACCGAACGTGCTGCTCGATTCCTATGGGACAAATATTGCGAAATGAAGCCATTGCCATAACCATTGGCTATAACCATCATATGAAAATATGTTGCAAATACTGCAGATATCAGCTTTACGAACTGACACTTGAAAAACTATATATACATTTTTATAGCATTGATGCATTTAACAGGGGGACAAAATTACTAGACCGATAGTTATTTGATCAATCCTATCAAGTTTACCTATATTTGGAATGTTCATATGTAAAATATAAGTAAACAACAAATAAAAATTAATACAAAATTATTTTTATTTTTATATTGCCTCTGTTAAGATAATTAAACATGAATGTCGATTACTTTGAATCTAAAAGTTTTAAAGGTTGAAGGCAAGGGATCATAATAATTGCTATATTTGAAATAAGCATTGTTAAATAACATGAAATTATTATAATTTATTTTATTTCATTAAAAATGTTGATATACGTGCGTCATATTTTTAAAATTATACCACATAAAATATTTTCTCTTGTTAATCAAAAACTGAATAAAAATTGAATTTTGTTACTGATCGAACCATTTTATATATTTTCAACAAATATTACAATTATGACTATTATAACTTATATATATATATATATATATTATTAATTTATTATTTTTTGCAGTATAAAAATGGGGCAAGTGTCGACTTCGCTCCATTCGTTTCAATATCTGCTAAAATATATATGTCATTTTATACATTTTATCTATGCAGAGTTTGATTGATAGATTTATGCGTTTTACCTTGAAATATTTATTGAAACTGTATCAAACTAGTTGGCAACGTTTACACGAACTTCCCGATATGTGTAAATAATCTACTTAATCAATAAAAAATAAATTAATTTATGAATGATTAAAAGTATTCCGAGTCGATTTATTACAGATAATTGAAAACGAACGGACAAGTTAACTTAGAGTATTTTCTAAAAATAAATTTTTATGGTTTGGTATGTTCATTACCAAGTACTCTATCGTTATACCAAGTAAATCGTCTTATTTTTAATTTCAACAAACGTCAAAAAAACTACTCATTTTCTCAAACTATTTGTCGTAAAGCCGTAATATTTCAGTAAGTTCTATAAGACCATGATATAAAAAAAGTTCCATGAAAATCGGCTTAAACTTTTTTTCCAACAGTTAATTACAAGAAAACGGCTCGGTAGATTTTTATCTAAAACTAAGTAAGCAGTATCATTCCCAACTAATATTTTTCAAACAATTTTTAATTTCTTAAAATCTATCCATTAAATGTGGGTGAAAAGCTTAACTTTTTTTACAAATTACAAAGAAACGGCTCAGCAGATAGTCGCACAAAACTGACAAATGATAGTCCTCATTGAGATACATGAAATTGCTTTTTAATTTCTGAAACGGGTTCAGGCGTTTTTGTTAAAACGTCGATCAAATTTTTAATTTTGTCAAACGGCAAAAAAACGATACTAATTTTTGCAAACTTAGACGAATTTTTAAAGTTAAACGAGTTGTCGTAGGGCCTTAATATTTTGGTATAATCTATAATACTATGGTATCTACCGCCAAAAAAAAAACATAAAAATCGTCGAAAAAAATCTTTGTAACACTTTATTACAAGAAAACGGCTCGGCCGATCTTTACCAAAAACTAATCAGGTCGATTCCCAACCAATATCTTTCGAACGGTTTTTGAATTTTTAAAATCGCTTTAGAATTGCGGGTTAAAATGTGGATGAAATTTTTTTCACTTTTCTGCGATTTACAAAGAAACGGTTCGGCCGATCGTAGCGGAAAACTGACAAACGATAGTCCCCATCGAGATACATCGAATGGCTAAATTTTTGAAATATATGTCCGTTTTTGAGTAAACGTCGATTTTCGGTAAAAAATCACACACACACACATACTTATTCCAAATTTGGTCTCATTTGATTCAGAATGGCTTAAAACGTCGAGAAAACATAAATTCATCTAATCGATTTTTTTGAGGAAAACAAGCTTCTCCTTCGGGAAGTTAATACCAATGTATGTGTACAAATAAAATTCATATGCGAGTCTAAAGTTTTCAAACTGTTCTAAACTTTATCCTCAGCTGTCTTCGCCTTCGTACCGCGATTCCCGCATGGAGTACGCAACTACGTTCGCCCTGGGATCAACGGGCTCCCCACGGTCGCCGTTCAACCGAGCGCGGCCCCTGCGCCAGAGGATCTCCAGCCTGCGCCGGGAAACCAAGACAGCTCAAACACTTTCCATAGTTGTCGGCGGTTTCGTGGCTTGCTGGCTACCTTTTTTCATATACTATATACTTACACCATTCCTGGTGCAAACTGACGTCAGCGACCAGCTCATGTCCATACTGACCTGGTTAGGCTGGATAAATTCAGCGATCAATCCGTTTATTTATGCGTTCTATAATGTGGATTTTAGAACGTCATTCTGGAGGTTGACTATTGGTAACTTTTATAAGAGAAGGTAGTGAAAATGTTGCACAGTTATTGAATATATGTTCTCGTAATTGAGATATGGGATGAAGGGGGATCAGACGCTTAGACTGAATTTAGAAATTTAATTGATAGCACTATAGCGTACGACTAGAGGATCATTAGGAAAAAATGAGTCATTTGGAACTCGGAAACTACATTATTTTTAATTTCACTTAATTCGAATGGATTAAGTATCGTATACATCTTAATTATATATAGCTCATGAAATTAATCACGTTTTGCAAAAGATTTTATACTATATTTTATGTGTGGGAGGTATTTTGTTAAACAATTAATTTGTAACGAAAATTGCTATAAACTACCACATATATATAAATAATAATTTTTAAAACAAACACAACAAAGCTATAGGATTATGAATTAGTATAATATAAATTATAATTAATTATTCTTTGGCCAGAAACAATATATATATATATATATATATATATATATATATATATATATTAACTCTGTTTTATTCAGCAATCAGAAATACATAAGAATTCCTATGAGCTAAATTGACAATATTTGAGAGCGATGTCCAAGAAGAACTCCCATGAGATCTTCTTAGTTTAACAATTAAGAAGATAATGTTATATTGAAGCTGATCTAAGACTAAATCTAAAGGCAATTGACGTTTTAATCTTCTTACGCCAAATGATTGGATAATGCCGCCTATTGATGGGTTGGAATGTGATTCCAGTTTACGTTTATATTTTTCCTTAAATTCTTTGAACGTTAATGCACCGTTTTCATGTTGAGATCGCTGTGAATGGTTTCATTTGTAAAGTACCACGGAGAATTAAAAATTGTACGTAAAATTTTTGACTAAGTTATCTGCATTATAGCTATATTTGATTTATCAACATCCCCAGAACTCAATTCCATAGGTCCAGATTGATTTAATAATTGCTTTATATAGCAGCAACTTATTTTCAACAGAGAGCTTAGACTTTTTACACAGTAGCCAATCAAATTCTTTCATTTTGATCATTATTTTCTGCTTTTTTGTTTTTATGTGACTTTTACAAGTAAGTCTGCTGTCTAAATGGAGACCAAGATATTTCACTATATTCTGTTTCGGAATCTGGATTTTTTTGCAACAGAAGTAATTGTAAATGAAACTTTGAAACTAATTCATGTATATATACACTATAGTGATTCACGGATTTCTAAACTGAAATTATAATATATATTAATATTAATTAAACATGGTTTATTTTCAAAGTTAATATCGATTACATATCACAATTTTGTAAACTACCATGGTGCATAAATTATGCATAAATGGATTATTTCCAAATTCAATATTACAATTCATATAGTTTCAGTTTAAAAATCTGTGAACTACTATACATGATTAGTTTTAAAGTTTCATTTATAATTAATAGAAGTATATACTTTTATTAGAAAAAATCAGTTGATATTGTTTCTGGTCAAAGAATAATTAATTATAATTATAATATTATAATCGAATTAATAAAATAAAAGACACGGTAAATTAACTGCAAAAATATAATTTCTTTATGAAAATTTTTACATATCAAACAAAATTTCATAAATGTATAAATAATTTTACCAAATAGTAGGTTTTGTCTTAGCGTCCTATTTGAACTTGAAAAGGCGGAATTTTTAATTTATTATTAATTTGTTTTAATAAAAAATATAAATTATTACCCACAACAATTTGAAAATACCTTGTTAGATCATATTCGCTTTGACATCATTTATGAATTCATAAATAAAATATCTTAAGATATCATATATGTATTCTAATATTGTCTAGGTCATTTATCATTGCTAGAATTTTGTTTTTGTTTAGAATTTATAAACAGATGTAGTTACTTGTAAATATTTGTGTGATTAATATATTAAAAGAACATATTAAAACTCGCTTAATAATATTACAAGAATCGAATAAGCTGGAAACGAATTCAATATAGTCGAGTCCAGTTAGATTCGTATTAGATTCGTGGATCTGTAAATGTAAATGAGTGCCATAGAACATTATGTTTTGTGCTATTTGTGATTTAAGTTACAGTTAAAATAAATTTAATTTCATACGGGTAGCCTATATATAAGGCCAATGAGGCTTTGAGTCGTGATTTTAATATAAATAAAGATTTTTTTCACTAATCTCTCTTATATTGTGTTTATTGATAAGATACAGAAGTAATAAGAATTCTTTTTATAATTGTAAAATTTATAAAGTGTGCATACAGGTAGTTTTTTAAAGTCGTGTAAATAAATACTTGCCATCTGGTAAGAAAATTTTACTTCACTTATTATAGCTCGAAGAGACAACTGTTAATAGTTTTAGCTTGCAAAGTTAATAAGCAGAGTTCAAAATAATAGTGATATTTTTTAATAAAACAGTAACTACAAATATATTAGGATATGAATGATTTATATTATCGTAATAATTTTTATATAAAAATATTTTGAGCCTTTGCATGAAATATTTAGAAGTTGAATTATTAATTTTAAGATAAATTATGAACAATATTATGTTGCTTGGAATCTAGTCAAATTAATATATTGAATAATAGAGCTTTTAATAATTACATAAGTTAGTAATTGTATATATTTGTGAGTTAAAATTAATTTAAGAACTTGTTAATGCTTTATTTTAATTGAAAATTTAAAACAAAAACAATTAATCATAACTAGTGCTATTTTAACATTTTGTACCAAAAATTTATGATATATTGCTTATATTTATAAAAGAAATGTTAATTACTAAATTTAAACATACAAACGATATTAATAAATTCATTTTATTGTCAATGTAAAACATAAAACCTAATGGTTTTAAAAACAATATAATAATACTTCTATGGATAAAATTATTAACAGAATAAATTAATATCATTCTAAAGATTATTACGTTAAGATTAATATCACAAATATGCTTATAAAGAACTCCGGTTAAGTTAGCAAGCTTCCTTGTACAATTTCAAAACACATTTTTTTCCTAAAATATGGCATATCTTGTTGAGTAAAGGACAAACTTGCATTGCGAGTTAAATGCTCTGCGATAGTACATGTAAACACACCACAGTCAGATCCATTTAATTGTTGAGGAATTCCCTAAAAAAAAGATGATTCTAAAATAAAATGCAATACAAAATATATTGTTATTTTTGTGAATTGTATTAATTCATTCACTCTATCATGAACTAATCTAGTAATTAGGTTCATTAAATTAAAATAAATAAAAAAATACATGCATAAATATTTCGATATAGATTTTTAAAAAACCTTCATATTGATGTGATAAGAATGATTTATTCTGAAGTTACCTTCATACAACTAAGTTTCCATTTATTAACATCAAGAATTTGATGTTTCTTATCCCATAGTTCGTCTGATAAATATTGCAGTAACTTTTTACTGGAGTCAATATCATTATGGCCCAAACTGTCATAAAATTCTATAACTCTTTTTTTCATGTTAATCAGGAATAGACACCAGTGTACGCTATTCTGATTAAATGGTATAGGGATCAAATCATAGCTGAAGAGGTCAACTTTTCGAGTCCATCTTTTAAGTGACTCAAATTCCCCTCTACAAAGTTTGGTAAAAAAAAATGTGCTCATGACATAAACCTGTGAATATTTTTATTCAATATTAATTATGATTTACACTAATATATATATATATATATATATATATATATATATATTAGGGTGGTCCTTAAAATGGTCATTTTCGAATTTCCTTGCTCCCAGGGGCTCAAATGGTTCCAAATAGATAAAAAACAATTCTCTGAAAGTTTTAGCTCTTAATATTAACGTTTAGATAGAGCGCAATTCAATCAAAGTTTGTATGGAAAGAGCATGGAAAAAATTTTGAAAATTAAAAAAAAATGTTTTAGATGTAACTTAGCGACAAATGAATGAGTTCTATTCATTCATTTGTTTGCTAAATTACATCTAAAGAACATTTTTTAAATTTTTGAAAATTTTTCCATGCTATTTCCATACAAAACTTTGATTGAATTGCGCTCTATCTAAACGTTAATATTAAGAGCTAAAACTTTCAGAGAATTGTTTTTTATCTATTTGGAACCATTTGAGCTCCTGGGAGCAAGGAAATTCGAAAATGACTATTTTAAGGACCACCCTATATATATATATATATATATATATATATATATATATATATATATATATATATGATATCAAATGTTCACCTTTGGGAAAAGATCATTTCTTTGGCTTCTTTCCATAATCAAATTTAGATAAAAATTTATGACTTGATCATTAAGCCATTCTGAATGCTGCAAACATTTAATATCTTCTCTTGTTATAGTTATGCTAAATTTTGTAATTAATTTTTCTCTAGAAGGTCCATTATAAAATGCATTTAGAACTACATCTTCCTGTTGTTTATCTAATTGTTTCACAAGAATCACATCTTCATCTTCAGAATCAGTTTCGAGACTTATTACATTCGATATTTGCAAATTTTTAAAAGATTTTCCATCTAAGATAGATTTCCGATTATGATTTTTCTTTATTGCTTCTTGAGGAGATACCTCTATTACTTCCCTAAGAAATAGTTTTATTACTAAAGATCAGATATGCTTATTTTATTTCAGAGAAAGACCACTGTAATTAGTCAACCAAAATTTAATTTAATTAACTTGTCTCTAATTGCCATAATAAAAACAAAAAAAAGTAATATGGATGTTGATAAAAATATGAATTCACAATATTAATTTGTTTCCATCAAAAATGTTGTATTCATTTTGGTTCACTACAGTGGAATTTTTCATTTTTTCTAACTTACGAATCAGAACTATCATCTACCACTTCTGCTTTCTCGGCCAATTCTGAAGAATTTACTACAATGACATCATCATCGGATTTGACTACCACAACATCATCATCTGAATCATCGGATTCTATGCAAATTATACCATCATTTAACTTTGGTTTGGTTTTAGTTGATTTAGTTCTGGAGTTTATCAAAGGTGAAGGAATTTGGGAAGAGTTTACTAAGCTTTTGTAAAGACCCAGTTCTTCAGCATATTTGTTATGGTTATTAAGTGATGATGATGATCTGGATGCTTGTAGACTTTTGAGGTAATGTTCTTTCAAAATGTGAGCATTAACCCAACACTAAAAAATATGAAAAATATATTCAATTAATGGCCTTATAAAGTTACACTTATAAAGTTAAGTATATGTTAGTATGGAAGATAATTGTTGAGAGTTTACATTCATTTTCACAACACTGTGCAAGACATTATTAAATAATATATGAAACTTGGAACATAATTTTTTTAACTTGTAAAATAATTTTAATATGCGTAAAAATTGTGATTACTTTAGGATCCTTATGTACACGAATTGGAGCAGGCTCCGCAGGTGTGGTAGCAACAAACCCTATACAAAAAATATCAATTATATTTACAAATCACATTGATCACATTTCCATTTAAAATACCTCCTGGGTTCATCGTCAAACGTAAACGCTTAGCTGGTGGAGGAGAATTGGAGCTATCAGACTGGTCACAATAAAGGCACGTACTTGAAAAATAAATATTTTAGTATCACTAAATTATCTAGATGCATATTATGTATTTAACAGTAATTTAAATGAATTACATACGAAGATTTATTATCTGCAATATCCTGTTTAAAACCAAAAAAAGATTTAACAAAACTAAGGAAATTTTGCATTGTTGAAATTGGCAATGTTTATATAAAAACATATTTGCCATAACCAATTTAAATTTTAAAAAACTTGTTAAATGTTTTACTTACTCTAGCAACAAAAAATTTTCTATAGTTTCACAAATTTTATTTCAATATGACAGTTAAACATTTTTGACACTTTTGACATTTGTATGTTTGACGAAAAGATGAGAAATATCCATAGACATGACATAGACCTTAAGCTGAGTCTACACTGAAATATTTTTTCAGCGGTTTTAGAAACAAAAATTTGCATAGATAAACTTGCAAATAATATTATCTTTAATCTAAAATAGTTATTAAATAGTCATTATTGACCAATTTTACTATTTCTTGGAAATATAAAAGCATGAATACTTATTAAGTATTGAATAAAGTCTTTATAGAACAAAAATCCCAGCAAATCGTTGCCATTTGTTAATATATTATTTTTACTATGTACTTATGTAGAATTTTCTACAAATGAGTTTAATATATTTTCTATTCTTTTTTAAATGATTATACTTCTTTAACAAATTAACTTTCATTACATCCTTAATATAGCTAAGAAACAAACCTCTCCTAATCTTAGTAGCATATCTTTATCTTAGATTCGATATACGTCTATGGAAATATCAATAGTATGTCATTGCTGTGTCAACTTACTCTTTGAACTATATTTTAAACGTGTAACTAATTAGATGATTATCATTTAATATCAAAATATAGTTTTATGGTTTTTAACTAGTTTGTGATTTGTAAATTAGTAAAAATAAGATGGAGCACTTGAAGAGTGCTGCTTTGCTACTTTTATCTGAAAAATGTTATCATAATTATTTTGAAGATTTTAACTTTTTGGATGGTAAATTTAAGTTAATTTTTATATACTATATTATTCGTATCAAATAAAATCAATGTCGTCAAGTTTATAATATGTTTATTTTATTTAATAAATTGTGATTTATGCTTATTTATTTGCAGTTCCATGTTTTAAAGCTACACTTTCCAAAGGCTTAGGACTGGGTATTATAGCTGGCTCTATTCTAGTAAAAGTACCACAAATACTTAAAATATCCTCTAATAAAAGTGGCCAAGGAATCAATATACTTAGTGTTTTATTAGATTTATTTGTAATCACTTCTACTGTAGCATATGGCTTTGTAAAAGGTTATAACTGTATTAATCATTTGATAAACATTTAACAATATTGATTCTCATGTATTTGTTTGTTTTTTAGGTTTTCCATTTTCTTCTTGGGGTGAAGGCTCCTTCTTGGCAATACAGACTGGTGCCATAGCATTTCTTGTGTTATTGTATAGTGGATCAAAAGCAAAAGCTTACGCATTCTTGCTGCTTTATTGTGTAGCATGTTACACATTAATGAGCGGTTTAACACCAGTGGATATTCTATGGTCTATGCAAGCATTTAATGTTCCAATTCTACTTCTTGGAAAGGTAAATTGACAAACTTTTCAAATATTGTTAAAAAATAAGCTACAGATTAATGTTGTGTATACTGATTATATACTCATTTTCTGTACAGTCTGCATACTTTAGCATATCCTACATATAAACTTAAATGGTCTATTCTATTTTTTGTGCATAATAATATATATATATATATCTCTCAAAATAATATGTTTTATTCATATAGTTGACTCAAGCTTACACAAACTATTCCAATGGAAGCACTGGACAATTATCAGCAATAACTTGCTTTATGCTGTTTATGGGATCAGTAGCCAGAATATTTACATCGATTCAAGAAACTGGTGACAATATGATGATTTTAACATATTGTGTATCATCTTTTGCGAATTCCATTATTGTTGCACAATTACTATGGTACTGGAACGCAAAACAGCCAACAAAAAGCCAAAAAGCAAAACTGAAGAAAAAGAAGCACTAGTACAGCAAAAGTGGTATACATTAAATTTTTTTTACATAGCAAGTACAAATGTTTATGTGGTACTAAGACTGTTGCAAGTCTGTTGTAAGCATTTATAAAGCAATGAGAACAAATATTTTGTAAAGACTGTTTGTTTCATGTGATAATAAAAAATGTAAAAGACAAGAAATCCAGTGTTTGTTATATTATTTGATTGTTGAATATATTATGGCTTTAAATAAATATACACAATCTCAAATCTTTAAAAGAATTTAAAAGAATTAACAAGTTGCCTAAGAGCCAAAATAAGGTAAAATGAAATAAAATAATGAAAATAATGAAAAAAAAGGTAAAGCAAAATGAAATAAAATAATGTTTATTAAAGTTATATCAGTTGCAACTTTTGCAGTGTGGAAATAAACTACTGTATTTAGCTAATTAGTGTGAATTTTTATGAAAATTAATTCTAATGTGAAATGAAGTAGTTTGAATAATTTTGAGATAAGCATAATGCATGCATAATGTTCCTTGATTATTTAATTTGCAAATGTTATATATGTGTCTATATATAATAATATATAAACCCAATGTAATGTTTAACTTTATTCTTTACAAATTTGTATAATGAATCTGTTTTTAATAATTATTCAAGAAAACGAGGTGGGCATATATCTAAATTAATTTCAAATTTCGAATTAACCGCTCTCTACTTAAAGCATTCGTGTGACATCCATGACATGACATCTTTGACACCATCTTACGTATTAAGAAATCTGTGTGACAGTTGTCATTTTTTAAAAACTCGTGTGCCGGTGAAAAGTGCAATTATACGTTTAATTAATTTATTAGCTAAATGTTATTAATATATGGCATTAATAAATTGATAAAAAGGAAGATTTGGTTGAATTAACGGAAGAATTTCATTATAGGTTTGTTAAATACTTTATCTTAGGCTAGAATAATGCAAATATACTTTCTTATCTTAATATAGTGCAGTTAGGAAGTGTATTTAAAAGTTTGTTTTGTGAATAATGATATTTAATGCTGCTAGTCATATAATAAGTAAGGGGTATTACACTATACATATTTATGGAAAATTTGATTATGTTAAATAATCAAATATAATTAAATTTGAAAAATACTTTTTCAAATACCCTAGCAAATTATTTTTTACTTTGCATGAGCTTTCATTAAATGGTTTAATAAACATGAATATTTACATATATTTTTTATTGTTATATTTATACTATTGTGCAATTTCAATAATAAAACCATTTTTATTTTAGAATGTTACTCGGTACACAATTATGTATTGAACGCTTCATGCTCCCATTGAAGGAGGATTCCATTGAATGTAAGTCAAAATCATAATTATTATAATAAACAAGCTGGGGAATGTTTTATTAAAGTTTTTCTGGCATTATCATTGTATCTTATTTTATGCCATTACTGTTTTTATTAAGATAATAATTAAAGCGAAGGATATGAATAATTAAAATTTCATACTTGTACGTCTGTTGAAAATCAGTTTTTGAAGTTTTAATATGAGCTAATTATAGTTATGATATTTGATAACTGAAATCTTTTTAATGGAATCAATTATTTTGATTAAACTTGATGGAATCTGAGTAATTATTTATCAATAGTTATAATTTGATTTATTATATTTTTATCAATTTTGCTTATTAGCTTATAATGAACTGAAACATTTTCATTTGTGAGTTTCATTTCTATTATTGTTCGAGTCTCACAAATTTTAATAATCCATCTTCCTCTACCTTACATAATAAAATAATTTTCTACCCTAGTGTAGGTACTAAACTATAGTTATATTATTTCATTATGTTTGCATCGTTAGAACCATTCACATCAGTTACCAAATAAATACTATCTATACTGAACTTAATTATTTTTTATCAATTACTTATAAGTAATTGAAAAAGCAATTTAAAATAATTATTTTAAAGAACTGATATAGCCATTCTAATAATGAATTATAACTAGTCTAGATTGTTCGTGTGTAGTGCAGTTAATATACTTTTTATTTAAACATTGCGCCGGGCGTCTACAATTATCGAGTTGTTACAATAATTTCATTCTGATTGTATTTACTTTTGCTTATTTGTCCCATCGACTCATGGTTAACTGAAATCTTTTTGAAAACATGATTAAAGTTTCAAAGAGTAGGAGGATATTTTCAGATTTTTTGTCCCGTTTTGGCCTTGTTACTACATTTTTTGTTGTTTTTTGCTGTTTTTGTTGCTTTTTGCTGTTAATTTTCTGATTTTTTATTCCTTTGGAATGTGTGCTTTAGTGTATTCTGTTCAGTTCTCGATCCTCCACTTATTCTTTATGTTAAAAATAAAAACAATCAATGTAACAGCTTAGTTCGTCTACTTGCAGAATTTAACTGGACTTGCACTATCCTATCAACTTTTGTTTGCTATTTGTTCTAAATGATATTTAAGATAATACAAATATTCTATTTTAAAAATTATTAAAAACATTTCAATATTTACATAGAAGCAGACATTTTAGAAAAACTAAAGTCATAATTAAATATTAATGATTTAATAAATCAGTTTGTTTATCAACAAAAGCAAGGAGTGTGTATATATTCAATTTGAATTGTTTGTAATTATTTAGGAAAAAGTGAGAGAAGGATAATTATTATAAAGATTTGTGAAAAATCATAGCCCCCTCTAAGGACCCCTAAACAGTTTTTTTATAAGGGCCAGAGCACGCTTCTGCTCTGTTAAAAATAAAAACAATCAATATAACAGCTTAGTTCGTCTACTTGCAGAATTTAACTTTTGTTTGCTATTTGTTCTAAATGATATTTAAGATAATACAAATATTCTATTTTAAAAATTATTAAAAACATTTCATTATTTACATAGAAGCAGACATTTTAGAAAAACTAAAATCATAATTAAATATTAAAGATTTAATAAATCAGTTTGTTTAAATAAAAGCAAGGAATGTGTATATATTCAATTTGAATTGTTTGTAATTATTTTGGAAAAAGTGAGAGAAAGATAATTATAATAAAGATTTGTGAAAAATCATAGCCCCCTCTAAGGACCCCCAAACAGTTTTTTTATAAGGGCCGGAGCACGCTTCTGCACGAATTACAATTATCATTATGAATTTTCAATATGTTTCTAGAGATAATAATTTTGCATTAACTTGAGAATAAATTCTAAATACTTTTTAATCTACATGAAATTTTCAGCATTTTTAACTTCCTGTAGGGTAAGTTATAGTAATCGCAAAAAAATTGAAAATGAAATTTTTTGTATATATTTACGTTTCAGAGGTTTCTGAACATGTTGTCATACCTTAGAAAAAATGGATGTATGCATGCACGCAGCATTTGTGTGTGCGGATACAAATTTTCGTCAACGATTTCGGGAACACGGTTCCACCGTTTTCAATTATTTAAAAAACATTTGATTCCTATTGATAAGTAGACGTGCTGATTAGTTTTTGGCAAAGGCAGGTCTAGTCGATCCGAAGATATGGGTCGAAAAGTGCCAAAAACGGTAACTCCGTTTTCAAGAGAACGGAACGTCCGATTTTAATAATTCAAAAAACATTTTACTTGTATTGACAAGATGAAGATTTGATTAAATTTTTAGGAAGGCAGGTCTAGCGTTTTCGGAGATATAGTAAAAAAAATGTTAGAATAATGATCATTAGACATAGGCATATCAAATTATCAGATATTTTATGGAGATTTTAATAATACGTATAAACTTTGTTTACATTTCTAAGGGTTCCGTAACACCGTTTGTGCGTTAGACGGCGACGCGGCGCTTACGCGCTTTGATATTTTGTCTTTATGCAGCTAAATCAGTACGGTTGCTTTGAGAAAAGTCAAAATTTCCAAAATATTTCAAAATAAAGAAAACATTTTTTGTTCAAAAAGTCTTTTTTTAAATTTAAAATTTTTCAAAAATCTATTTATTTTCAAGGTTTAAAAAAATCATCTTTTTCAAAAAAAAATAATTTTTGGTGTGGAAAGTTCCAGCAATTTGCCTTAAGGCACGATGCTATGTACTACTAGTTACTTATTTGCTCAAACGTCAATGTTCATGTTCTGTATTTCGTTATAGACCCCTAAATTGTTAAAACACACCCCTCTAAAACAGGGTAAGTCCTACTTCTGGATCAGAATCGTAGCTCCCTATAATCCCTAGTGTTATCTTGTCTGGTAATCTGATAACTAGCACCCAGAGGCATTCGCTGTTACAGGGTATTCATTCATTGTGCTGGTAAAAAATCTTACTCAAATCTGTAGATATATTTGGGAAATATTTTTTGTGTATACAAATCTATTATAAAACAGGGCTTATGTAAAATTATATCAAGCTATTTCAATTTTTTATTTACCCAAAAGAGAAGTTTATATTTTTGCCAGAAATTATTATTTATATTCAATGTTTATTTTTTCTCTACGTTTTAACTAATCTATTTTTCCGTTTCCTTATAGTTAGCAGATAAATGTAAAAAAAATTATCCACGTTTTAGCCCATAAGTTTCAATCGATTTTGAACATTCAAAACCTGTTCGAAAGATATTGATTGATAATCGCGTAAAGATCTACTTCGTAATTAAATGTTGAAAAAATGTTGATAACGATTTTGTTAAAACTTTGTATAACAATAGATTTTGTAGTCTGGTATAACATACTAATATTATAGGCATACGCGTTTGAACTATAAAATTTTATCAAAGTTTATAATTTTTCCGTGCGCTTAAGCGATTCTAATCAGAATCTGTGCCGAATCATGTACGTTCTTACCGGGTTTGTCCCGCTACCAGGTTTTTGCCGGTAGCTACTGATTACAGTTGACGTCTACACTAAAATAAAATACAGTATAGAACTCAAATATTATAAGTATGTTTGAAAGACATCAATTGTAAATCGTATCGCTTATTTTCTAGTGAAAGCGAAAAGGCTATTTTTGAAACGATTGGTTGAATATTTTACCTTAATAGCTGAATCTCAATTCTTATTGATTAAATTGATTAATGTTACGTATTGGGAAGTTCATGCAACTTGTCTTAAGGCAAAATGCTACTTACTACTAGTTATTACATATATGCTAATAATAAGAAACGCTATTAAAAATCTTATCAATATTTTTTAAGTTTTTTTAAGTTTCAAGCCATTCT